CATGAAACGAAGCCGAGGAGCTCCGAGTTTTAGTTTTTTACAGAATCTGGTGCAAACGGTTTGTTTTTGGAGGATTTTTAAGTGTAGAAATATGTGATGATGTTTCACATGTTCTGGCCGATTCCTTTAGAGGAGAAGACGCTGTAGATGTGGGATGTGTTGGGTTTCAGAGGATTAAGGAGGAACTGACAACGAGTTGGGTGATTAATTCTGTCAAACTATTGAATCTAAAGTTGACTTTGAGGACACAGAGTGCCGCTCTGCTGACAGCTGGCTGCGTTGAGGTGTTTTCAGGATTTTGTTTGCTGCTCTTTAAAGCCTTAATTAGCTTCAGACCTCCTCTGATTTAAACTCCTGGAAACAAACTGGACTTTTCTTTTCGTCTCCGTCCTCCTCCTCTCCTGCTCCTCCTCCTTAATTAAGCGGTTCTGTGTTTATTTAGAGATTAATTTGTGGCTCTGAATGGTCCTTATTAATGGAGCCTGCGCTCTGGGCCCGGCCCGGTTCAGCGGGCGTCCGACAGCCCGAGGCGCCGTCGCAGCAGCTCGGGGACGACAGCGAATAATGCGGCCGAGTGTTAAATCGAGGGCAGAGCTATTGTTCGCCGCGAAAAACCATTATCTGCACATTTCCTACCATCATTTTAATACGCGCCCCCATAACCGGCGCATTACCTCCGTGTGATAATCCTGCCATTAATAACCTCGGCAGACTTTGTTGCTTCTGCTGCTCGTTTGCGCCGCGGAACTATTCTGTCCTCGGGGCGTTTGAGGGGGGCAGATGGAGAGTGGCGCGCTGACCTTCAACGCGTTCACGCTGAGCCGAGCAGATTAAATATAGCAAATTGGACTGTGATTCTAGTGCAGCTAAAAGCAGATTGGACTTGGCCGGTCTTGGCAGAGTCGCTTAATGAACTCCATAAGTCACGACGACGACGACGACGAGCCGCGGGAAGCCGACCGACGCCGAGGCGGCACATGTTTGTCCACATGGACGTGATGAAGAACCCCTGAAGAGCCTCTCTGGCGCTGCTGGATGGGTTTTCAGGCCTCCTTCGTCATGTTGAAGAGCATTTCTTCAGATTTATAGTCGTGTTCGGGTCCTGATTCGATGAGGGGAGCTGCAGCAGCTTCAGCGTGATTCTTTAAGGTTTATTTATTGGAAGGTTTATTTATTTGAGGGTTTATTTAGGGGCGGCTCAGACACAAGTGGTGGAGCTCTGATAATTACCTACAGCCTTTAGCCGTAAGGTGGACATGAATAACAAAAATAATCTGTATATGACATAATTAACCAACAGTGGTGTCAACAAAGACATTTTTAACTGAGTAGTTTCTTCCTGATCCTTTGATTACATTCGATGCCACAGATGTGTCGTAAATTTGGATAATTTCCTTGTTAAGGAATATCAGTCAGCAACTGTCTACTAAAGTAAACTCAGCACAGCTTTTGTTTGTCTGGCACTGATATCGTTATTAGATTGACTACACGAGTTCTGGTCGGAGGTCATTCAGTCGCACATCAGTCATGGTCCCTTTACCAGCAGAAACCGCCGCCTCCTCTGGTCTCTACAGCATTAAACAGTGAGAGGCTCCACCTGGTGGAACAACCAGGTACTGCGGCTGGTCTGCGACACTTTAAGTGTTTTGTCCAGTAAAGTGGTGTCAGCAGATACTAAATATTAAATGACTCCGATTGGAGGCTAAAAAACTTGATCAGGACAAAACCCAACTAACCAAACCCAAATCCTCACCTCCGACCTACGAAAACAGGAGGAAAGGGTTCATAAATCCCCCTCAAACACCCCGAGGTAACCAAGGAATCAACTGAAAGCACCAACCAAAGATCCCAGTGTGGTCAGGTGGTCTTACCTCCGTATACATTCTTCCGTCTTCAGTCTGGAGTCACTCACCGGCGGTTTGAGCTTCTTCTGTCCTCTGCAGGTGTTTTCCAGAACATTTTATCCAGATGTTGCTCTGCAGACTTCAGACGTCGACTGCTTTGACGCGCTTCCTCGTGAAGATCGGTCGTTATCCATCTTTACTGTCTCTCAGTTTGATCATCAGTTGTTCAGGGCTGGTTTGGGTCTTCATTAGAATTTGGCACTAAAACAACAGAAAATGGCTCAATATTGTACATTTCTTGTGCAGCACTTAATCAGCGTCTTAACAAGATTTGCAGGCCAGTGCACTGTCATCATAGGTAAAAACAGCAGAGTAGCTTTTTAGGTAAATGCACAACAATAATCTTATTTCTCGTTTAAATAGAACTACGGCTCAAAGTCTGTCGTGTTGAATGTCTTGCATGAAGAACAATGATGTGACTTGATAATAATACGACTTACTGGGTCTGTGGATGCCTGTGCTCCCCCCCGGGCCGTAATGGTACAGTCCAACTCCAAGAATAAAACACAGAAATGGAAAATTCATTTAAATTTCTGCTCAACGATCAAATTCTTGAGCAAAAATCTGAACGTTACCTTCAATAAACTAAGCAGAGACAACTATCGACTTGTGAAGTAATAAGAAAACGAATAATTCAACTTAATGGTGTAAATTGTACAAAGAACCTGTAAAGTGTTCCAGACTTTGATGGGTTCAGCTGCTCCAGTCAGACGAGGCTTCACTTCGTGCCCAGCAGACTCGGTTTGATCTCAAAGTTTTCCTGCTCGTCAGCGGTTCTACTTTAGCTCCAAAGTGACATTTCAAACAGCGAAACCTGAAGCTTTGATGTGTGTCTTCACCCGACTCGCTTCAGAACCTCAGTGAGACTTTTAGAAGAACCCCGGGTTGTTAGAACGTTGAGTAAATAAATAACTCGTAGTTTAAAGGCTGTCGAGCAAACTGAAGTTTTCTGAGTTCATCATTTACAAAAACACGTCTGGTCCTCGGCTTTCAGCATCTCTGGAACTAAAAACAAACCCAAATCAGAAAGATCACTGATCTCAGATTCCAGCAGCATCAATTATTCTCAAAAGACTGAAATATTTCTACAGCTAGACTCAGCTTTATGGAAACCTCCCACCAGAGTTCCTGAAGCTTTGAACATCTTCCTTCCTGCATAGCATCGATTGGTGCCATCTGAGCCGTCGCCTGATGACCCGTAATGACCGATTCAATCAGGAGATTACAGCCAGAGGAGGCTCAGATCTATTGGAGATCTGTAAGTTCACGTCGTCTGCTCACCTGTTTCACCTCAGGTGGATCAAATGAAGGAAACCAGGACACAGCTGCAGTCGGCCTTCTTGTTTCTGCTTTAGGACCATGTTCTGACC